GCTCTCAGCTGTCAACACAGAGCCCGACACGGGGCTCGAACTCATGGACCATGAGATCACAACCTGAGCCAACATCAGATGTTTAACCGAGTCACCAGGTGCTTTTGGCTGTTTTAATTTCCTTTTTAACGCTTCATCTTCCAAAGTAGCTTGCACCATTGAGGAGTGTCAAAGGTAGGTTACAAACTTATTGAATTACTAAGAGAATTGTTCATCTTAAGTATTTTTACAAATTATAATTTTAAACATATTCATGACTTTAGTAGGAAAGCAGGAAAAGTAGATGAGAAAAGTTTTATTTGCAGAAGATATTAAATAATGCAAATATAGTCAAAGCAATATAGTTTTACTCCAAAGACCACGGAAATCCAGGAAAACCTGGACTATACTACAGCCTGTAGATATTTGACATTAGGAAAGATTCAAAATAAATTTGTCAACTTATAAGGAAAAAATGTAAGGGATTAATTAACTTTATTAAAGCATTAATAATAAATATTTAGTTTTAAGTTGGGTGTTTATATTGCTTTAAATCTTGCTCTAAGTCATATATCATTCTTGTATGCAATATCATAGAACAGTAGAGGAATATTAAAAATAATCTAGCCCTGGGGCGCCTGGGTGGCGCAGTCGGTTAGGCGTCCGACTTCAGCCAGGTCACGATCTCGCGGTCCGTGAGTTTGAGCCCCGCGTCGGGCTCTGGGCTGATGGCTCAGAGCCTGGAGCCTGTTTCCAATTCTGTGTCTCCCTCTCTCTCTGCCCCTCCCCTGTTCATGCTCTGTCTCTCTCTGTCCCAAAAATAAAATAAACGTTGAAAAAAAAAATTTTTAAAATAATCTAGCCCTTACATTTTACCAGTAAGGAAAAGGAGACCCAGAGGTAATATGTAAACCCATTGTTGTGCTCATATATTCTAATAAAGAATTTAACTTAAAGAAAAGCCTTAATTGCAATTAATTTTTATGTGGTAGTGTAAAATTAAGTTTAGCTTATTTAGCAAGAAGTGTTTGACCATTCTGGGAACAAACACTCAAATTGCAATGGTTTTTAAGTCGAATTCAATACAAGTAAAGTTTCATGTATGCCAGCTTTGCAAATGGAAAACTGTCATGTGATTACAGTTGAGTTTGAACTGCGCAGGTCCACTTATACATGGATTTTTCCCGATAAATACAGTACAGTACTGTAAATGTATTTTTTCTTCCTTATGCTTTTCTTAATAACATTTTCTTTTCCCTAGTTTATTGTAATACAGTATATAATACATATACAAAATATGTGTTGACTGTTGATCATTGAGGCTTCTCGTCAAAAGTAGGCTATTAGTAGTTAAGTTTGGGGGGAATCCAAAACGATACACGGATTTTTGACTGTGCAGGGGCTGGTGCCCCTAACCCCTGCATAGTTCAAAGGTCAACTGTACAAGTATTGCATCATAATCAGGGTCAGTTTATCACCTTTACTGGTATTTTTCTCCCCAGAGGACATTTTCTTAGACATCTATGCGGTCATCATACTTTTTATACTTTTTAGGAAGAAATAGGCAGAGAGTACATAGCACTTTTTTCTTTTTCTTTTTTTTTTTATGTTTATTCATTTTTGAAAGACAGAGAGAGACAGAGCACAAGCAGGGGTGGGGCGGAGAGGGCGGGGGACACAGAATCCGAAGCAGGCTCCAGGCTCCGAGCCGTCAGCACAGAGCCCGACGCGGGGCTCGAACTCACAAATGCGAGATCATGACCTGAGCTGAAGTCGGACGCTCAACCGACCGAGCCACCCAGGTGCCCCCATAGCACTTTTTTCTGAAGTTCCAAATACCTATGGCATTCAGTCATCATCCCATTTCTGAAGTCTCCTTTTTCTTCTTCACATTCTTCTATACTTCTACTTCTGCTAGGGTTGCAGTGGGGTGTGCAAATGCAATCCTTGGTTTCCTTCATTCTCTAGAATTTATTTTGAGAAATTAGGTAGATTTTCTGGTTAGTCATTCTCCAAGAGAGCTGGTTTTTATCGTTCTCCTCAACAAGAGACCAGCCCACCCCAAATGTTTTGGCACTTATGTTCATGTTTGGAAGTGCTTTCCTGCTCAAGAACTGCTTGTATCTCACGTGGCTCCCCGATATATCTGTGTTCATCCGAACTGCATTCCTGGTCTCCAGGCATCCTGAGTATCTTTTCTGTCTCTCCCACCTCGTAACATTTCTGTTGGGTTGAATACTCATGAGATACTTGTATGCTAGTGCCATCTATTGTTGAAAAAATATATGTGAATATGACTCTTGCTAATGGGACTAGAAATTGGATTAAGATTGGCTTTAAGACTACCAAATGATAGAACCACAATTTGGTTACAAAAACACTCATGGAGTAGGAGAGGATACTTAAGCGGTTGTATTTTATCTTTGTCTTTATGTAAGATTTACAAAGGCTGTTTTCATTTTCCGCCATATTTAATCGGACTAATTTTGTAATCATAGTTAGCATAAGCACATATTCCAAGCATAGAAAAGAGAGTAAGATTCAAGTGAAAAAACAAGTTAAATAATGAAATGTATCTCTTATGTAGATACAAAATTGTCAGTGTTACAGTCAACTGAAAACTTTAAGGTATTTTGTATTAATTGTAAACCTTTAACCATAACAACATAGACATACTTGGTAATTTTTCCATTTAAACTCCAAGAATTGACTTGAAATAAAATTTTCAAGATATTATTTTAAAATAAAGCTTCTCTTTGTGGCTGCCTTCAAAATTCAAACAGAATACCCCATAAGACACGTTTCCATTCCTACTCTCCCTACCTAGGAACTAAAAATGTTAAAAGTTTAGAAAATAAGAATCATAAAGGAAAGATAAAAGATACTGAGATTATTTACAATCTCCTGTGATCCTTTCTACTTTGGGTTCCAAAAGAATCAACAACAGGAATGTCGTTGGAACCAGAAGGTAATGACTAGCCTCTAACCCAGCAATGCCTAACCAATCTTTAACTCCTAATCTTGAGCTCATACGGTTTTGGGTGACAGTTAGGCCAACTTTCCTCCCAAAGAAAAAATGACTTTTGAAATATCTCAACAGATATCTGGTCAATCATACTTTCCTTGAGCACTTCCTGAGTGGGAAGTCTAAGGCCTCCTGAGGAAGCCTGTTCCATTGTGGTAGGGAAATAAAGTGAGGAAATAAAGTTAAATAAAACTAGAAATGCCTCCTAAGTGACTAGAAGGACTTAAGCATAGAGGACAAAATCATTTTCCCGTTAACTGACTACCCGCACAGCTCTCTATTCTGACTGCTGTATCCGAACATTAGGATGATAACACTTTTATGTAAGTATATTCCACAACCTTTCAATGATCCATTATAAAATATAAAACCCGCCAATAACAAGACTCCCTTCAATCAACAAACGATTCTTGAAATTAGGCCCTTTTCCCCCCTTGAATCCCTGTCTTTTTTTTTATCACTTAGTCACAAGACACTTAGTGTTTTTCTCCTTTGTCCATTTTTTTCCTCTTTAGACACAGTTATGTCTGATAAATGCTAATGCTTTTGTTTCTAAGTATTTCTCCAATATGATAAATGTACTTTCAGTGTGGGTACATGGTATTTCTATGGTATTATAAGGGCTTGTCTAGATTTCTCCCTAAAATCCATTCTCCAGTAAATAATAGTCACCCCCGAGCTCAAGAATATTCGCTCTGACTGCTCTCCAAAACTCCAAACATGCATTCTCACTACGTGCTGTACTTTCCAACATCAACGTTTCAAAATTACCACAAGACCAGAACAGAATGTTGACTCCCTTCCTCACCACATCCCTCCTCCCTTTGTAAACCTGCCTCTTTCATGGCACCACCAAGATTCCAACTGTTCCGTGTTCTTCCTCATCTTCAACATCCTCTTGACTCTGCTTCTCGCTCGGGCTTCTAATCCTCCTGTTCTCCATATCCTCTGCTCCTTCCCTTGGTGGGATCTTTTGTGTTCTGACTTCTACACTGTTTCAGTAACTTCCTAACTGATCTTTCAGTCTTCCAATGAGAAACTGTGATGATTCTCCATTAAAAATTTTTTTTTTATTAACGTTTATTTATTTTGGTGAAGAGAGATGACAATGAATGGGGAGGTCAGAGAGAGAGGAGAACACAGAATCCGAGCAGGCTCCTGAGCTGGCCAACCTGCAGACCCGATCCCGAGGCACTCGAACTCACAGACTGAGATCATGACCTGAGCGAGAAATTCCGGACGACTCTTAAACTGAGCCACCCAGAAACATGGTGATAGTTACTCCGGCCTGAAGATAAAGTCAAGCCTTCCATCTAAAATTCAAAGGGAAATCCTTCACTTTTGGATCTTTAAACTTCTTTTCAGCTTTACTTTCTACTTCGCTTCCCTTTAACCATACCCTATAGTTGTTGGTGTCCTCTCAGAACATACCCTGCCCTGTCCTACCTCAACACCTTTGCTCAAGTGTTCTTTCAGCAATAGGTGCTCGTTGACAACGCTCTCCACTCTTGAATTCCCACTGCAAACTCAACTACCCCTTCCAAGAACACTCCCGGTTATAATTAATCCCTCTTTCCCCAAATACTTGGAACCTGTCTGCAGCATTCATCACATTTTACCTTCTATCAGAGTCACGTATATAGGAATCTTTCTCCCACCGAACTGGGAACTTCTTGAAAACAGGGACTGCGTCCTATTTATTTCTGCATCATTTACAATTTGAGCAAAATTCTTTGTTCATGGTGGGTACTTTATATTTGCAATAAGAATGAACAAAAGTCTCATGAAAATCAGAGTAGACTAAACTATAACATGAGTCAGCTCTTTAAGAAATGTTAAGAGATATCCTTCCTGTTTCCTTAATTTGTTTTGATGTGTATATACTGATTAACAAGATGCTGTTAATGCTTCCACTGTGTGCCCTGGGAATTAATAAAATAGGACAAAGGATTTTAGAAAATGGATTCAACCAAAATTTGGTTGATATCAAGCAAAAGAAATTTACAAAACCTGCCCTATCATTTGTCCTCAGGATGCTAGATTTAGGTTGTTTTGTTTGTAAAAGATAAAATTTCATAAAGCACCTACAACCTAACAGGGAATATGCAAGCGTCCTCTGGAAGTTCTTTGATCACATAATATATTTCTTCTTCACTTTGGCGCTCAAAGGAAAGGGATGACAGAGAGATTGAGCGGAAAATGGAAGGGTGGGGGGAGAGAGAAAAGAGGCAAGTGGAAGGAAGAGTGGTAGGAGAGAATAAAAGGCAGAAGTAACTTAAAAGGACTAGAAGTGATTTATAATCCGTTTGGTGTCCAGTGTGCTCATCACTCTGCCCTCTGGCCCCGGGTTGTCTTTGATCTTCCTCACGGCTCGTCCCATCCGCTCCCTGAAGAAGCTGTAAGGACCAAGGGTCAGAGTAATATTATTTCTTCTCTTGTTGAACCCCGGGCTCTCCTTGTAGTCCTGCTTCCTTGCTTACTTTTCTTGGGACTAAAATCAATGACCTGCATATATATGCATGTGCATATGTACTCAAAGCGGCTGTTGTGGGTTGAACTGTATCCTCCAAAAAAATGTTCCAGTCATAATGCCCAATTCAGGTGACCATGACCTTACTTGGACACAGAGTCTTTGTGGACATAATCAAGTTACGACGAGGTCATAGGGGGCTAAAGTGGACCCTGGTCTAGAGAGTAGTGTCTTTAGAGCAGAAAGGAGAAGGAGATGGGGACACAGAGGCACTGACACACACAGAAGAAAGAGCCACATGGTGATGGAGGCGGCTGCATGCTGAGGAACACCAGGGATTACCAGCAAGCACCAGAAGGTGGGAAGAGGCCAAAACGAATGCTTCCCTAGAGGGAGCATGGCCCTACTGACACCTTGATTTCAGCCTTCTCGCCTCCAGATCTGTAACGGAATACATTTCTGTTGTTGTGAGTCACTCCGTCAGTGATAATTTGTTATGGCAGCCCCAAGAAGCAAATACAGGGACTAAGGCTATTGAGTAATCAGAGAGGATCTTTAGACCAGAGAAGAAAAACTATTAAAAGTTCTCTCCTCCTAAGACAGAAGTTCATCCATTTGGCCCAGATTGCTAAACAATGTGTTTTGCTCTACTTAGAAAATATTTTGTAATATGAAGTTCAGCCTGGTTAGTTTCATTTTATGGTGCTTAAATTCTCAACCCGAAGAAAGAAGCTGTCACTGAAAAAGAGAAAAAAGCCTAAGAATCACAAATGCCTGGCACCTAGTAGATGTTTAATAAATACTTGTTGAGGGGCGCCTGGGTGGCTCAGTTGGTTAGGCGTCCGACCCTTGATTTCGGCTCAGGTCATGATCTCACAGTTGGTGAGTCTGAGCTCCATGTTGGACTCTGCGCTGACGGTGCGGAGCCTGCCTGGGATTCTCCATCTGCCCCCTCTCTTTCCTCCCGCCCCTCTCAGAAATAAATAGACATTTAAAAACATACTTGTTGAATGAATGAATGAATGAAGACAGAATAACTAGACAAGGCTGTTAAGACATAAAAGCAGGGCATCTGAGCCTGATATCTGAGCACTTTCATAAACCGAGCTAACACAAGAATGCCCACGTACCACTGGGGAGACACAAAATCAAGAGTAGTTCGTGTAACGTAAAATATATATAAAGCACTGCAGAAACCACCGTGTGCTGTAGCAAATAAGTGATTTCCTAGGTGGATGGGTTCTGGGATGAAACTGTAAAGTAATGTGGTTTGCACACGCTACTTATTAAAAAAAAAAAAAAGGTAATGAGTCAAAGGAATTGGTTATGATGTGAGCACCTAATTTTATCTTTCTTTTCCCTGCCCCCCCCAATTAAACCTGCCCCAGCCCATTCTTCTCCTTCAGTCTGAATGCTTGTATCAAGCAATCACTGTCTAATTATATATTTCTTCAATAACTTCCAGCCTT